GCAGCCATCATTGTTGTTTGGCGGGTCCGGGCTGGGGATTCGAACCTGCCACCTTAGGTGTATGTGGCTGGCGCCTTAGCCGGTTGAGCTATAGGTGCTGAGCCTCAAATGGCTATTCTCAATTATCATATTCACAAGCAGAATAGATTAATTTTATGACATGGATGTAAATTCCTTTTTTCATCTTTTGTGACAGACAACTGTTTTTCAGTATTTTTAAGTGGTCATTGATTCATTCATCCAGCAGGTATTATTGAACATCTACTATGCACAAGGAGAAGAAAAACCCAGGATACTTGAGACCCTAAAGTTGTGTTAGTGATTCACTAACCTGCAGGAGAAGTTTGTGGGAATGACTTCTTTGGACCTCAATATTATAACCTCAAGAGTATTGAGGATGTCTAATAAAATCTGCATGTGGAAAATATGATTAAATATGAAACTAATTCTAATACACAGCTTATTATGTTTTTTTGTTCTAGAATTATAAGAGACCATGGATTAATCAACCTTAGAAAGTTTCAGTGTAAGTATTAGCAGTTATTTCACAGTTTCTTTCAGTGTTATTGAATAGTTTAAAATAATTTATGACAGTACTTTTTTTGAGCTTACAGTCTAGTGTTTATTGCCACTTGAGATGTAGTCTGTTATCAGGGGCAAATCACCAACATCTCTGTCATCACCTGCCCAGTTTGGGGAACAACAGGCCTGGCTCGAGACATGGATAACATACCTGATGCACTGCAGATGTCATATTGGACATCCACTGCTCAGACAGTGGATAGGGCTGGAAGTTGATTTTTTAATAATAAAGTACAATGAGGAGAGGGCAGAGGCAGTTGAGCTGAGTAGTCTGGTATACTGTGGTGGTGGTAGGCTAGCTACACAAATTGCTGCTACTGCTGCTCCTTCTTGGTGGCTGCCTTGTTGGCTAGGTCCTTGACTTTCTCTGTAGCTGTCAGTGCCATCTCCTTTGCCTTGTCCTTGACTTCCTTAGCTGTCTCAACAAGTTTTTGGAAGGGGCCTCAGCCAACAGCTTGGCCAAGATGTATTCAAAATCTTTCATAGAGTTGGTCATGTTGCTTTTGTTTTTTTTTTTTTTTTTTTTTTTTTTGAGACAGAGCCTC